GTCTTTTTATTCGTTTTTGGACTGCAATGAGTTCAATGGCACAGATGCATACCCTATACCTCTGGCTGTGAAGTCTTGTTAGCAGGACACATTCATTGTTGGTTTAGATCTGTTGGGGGATTTGTTGATAATAAAATAAAAGATAAAATATGCCGGTCTTATCCTTTAATGCAAAAGCTGTGTGATTTTTTTTTTGGAGGAACAGAGCCCTCAAATACACTTACAAAGATGCTCTCTTGGATTGCAAAACACTCTCTATAATCATTTTATTGAATGAAAAATATACAAAACCACTATTATCAGCGCCAAACTTCCTGGTCTCACACCCAGTGAAAGTGAAAGTCATGTTCTATATTCATGAGAACCACAATAAGATACAGAAAGAATAGATATTTTATTTTTGATTACTCCAGTTTGCGAGATTATAAATACATTCTATGGACACAAACATAGAAGTAACAGGGCATCTTTAGTAATCTGTACAATGACACTGAGATAACAGAGATTTATCATGATGTATTTGGGCTCAAACACCATCGCTTTTGTTGTATCAGTCCTAGTTTCTGGTGAAGAATGTGTTCGAGTGTCTGGGTGTGATGCCACCAAAAAAGCTCCAGTGCAGGTTGGCCCTTGTTATATGAAATCCTGAAAATATGCCAGTGATTTGTCTATGCTCTGTGGGTACAAAAGAAAATTGTCTAGAGTGTGTTTTTCCCATGGAAATAATAGATTATTGATGTTTTGACAGAAAGCAGAATGATTTCCCTTTGGAGAAAAACAGGCTATTTACATTTGAACTACAAGAGTTTTGGTTCTATTTAGCTTCCCAATAAGTAATCTTGATTAGCGTCTTAGTCAGCAGAGAAGCGTAGTAACTCAACAAAATTAGACCGTAAATGATTGGAAATGAGCAGGGAGTCCACATTATGTCACTTACAAAGCAGAAGAAAAGGAAAATAGGCCAGTCGTCTCCGTGTGAGACAGAGGTAGAGCTGCTCAGATTGCATTTTGGATGAGAAAGGATAAAAAAAACAAAAAAAACTGCATGAAGCAGGAAGGAGAGAGTAAAGTCGAATGAGACGCAGGAAGAGAGAGCAATGAGGGTGAGTGAGAGGAAATATAGGTAACAACACATTCGCCGCGGTAGAAATAAAATTCTCAATTTCTGCACACGCACGCACACTCATACACACACACACGCACGCACACACCTGCGGCTCTCTCCCAGCGGGTGGCACTGTGTAATTTGGCACATCCATTTCCTAGGCTGGGTTTGTCTTCCATGCTGTCGAGGCAGGAGGCAGTCACAAACCCCATCGGGCTATTCCAGCCAATCCCTGAATGATGTCACTTTCGAAACACACTCACTGAACTGCAAACAAATCTCGACTGTGGAAAAGTGTCTCGCTCATAACTGTCCTATTTTTCTACTTGTGGTGATTCTTGTCACAGGAGGTTTGGTCTGATTTCATCCAGCCTTCAGGTGTCTGATTGCTCAAGGAGTTCGACCCCGTTCTCTCTCACTGCACCACACCACTGCACTTTACATGGTCTTCCCCTTTGGTCAGGCACTTTATGTGGCTCTTCACAGGGCCATGTATCCCAGACCGTGTCCCAGAGGCCACCAGGTCTAACCCTGCCAAAGTGAAATCTGTCTGCTTTGACAGCATATGGGAAAATTACATGGCAAAAAACAAGTTGCCCTCTCATGACATTTCTTCCCTTTGATACTTCACTCTCAACTCCGCCACTCAATTTTAGCCCTGTGCCACAGTATGTGTGTGTGTGTGTGAGTTGGGGCCAATGGAAACTAATCTCCCACCACGGCAGATGGATCAGAAGAGGGGACTACTTTGATTCATATTCTTTAAGGTCTGGGTCACTCGAATAGCAAATAACAACAACAACAACAATAAAAGAAGGAATCAATAATAAATTGAATGGCAGATGACATCTTGTTTGTGGCACAAACAGCACAAAATTGTTTTTAATCTAAACTCAACAGATTTTTTGGGCCACACAACACTGACATATTATCATCCTTTAAGTTGATGAAGTGTACTTGTTAGCAAACAGTTGCGTATTTGCACATCCAGGAGCTCTATTCACTCACTCACGCCGATATTGTCTGTCTGCTGTTTGGTGTTGGTCAGGTAGCGTGCAGTGGATTAGTGGCTTTTTTTTGCTGAAAGCCTGCTGTGTCTTGAAATGAAACAATGAGAGCAGTGAAAGGAACCAAAGGTTGAAGTAAAGTTGCCAGCCATAAACCAAAACAATGAGCTAAAAGATGGTTAAATGCTCTGTAGAGCTGCAGAGATAACTATGAGTGAGTTCGTCCCCATGACACACACACGAGTCATTTCAACCATTGTTAGTTGAAAAAATAATGATTGCAGCAGCTTTAAAGAATTCAACGGCAACTTGTTTTTCTCAAACAATACCCTTGTGACCTCAGACCTCACTGTGAACAGTTTTTATTGGAACTATTTTCAACCAAAGAAAAAGTACCTCAAACAGTCAGAGGAATGTATTTTAGAACGGATGTTTTCTTTCTGGAAATAAATTTTTTCTTTTGTTAAATGTGATATTTCGATGCTGTGAGCGCAACAAACAAAATTCCTTCAACTTCCATTGTATTGAGGTGGCTGCTGAAAGAGACACATTTCTAAAAAGCTTGACCAATTAAAAAACCCAAACTTTCTGCATGGTTAGATGTCACAACAGGTAAGTTTAAAAAAAATATTATGCTTTTGAGTAATTTAGGTGAATCAAATCTTTAAGGACACATTCCAATTAGAAAGATTCAAATCTATGTTGCAGTCAGGAGCATTTAAAAAGTATTTTTTTGCTCATCAAAATGCCATCGATAATGTTTGTTCATATCAATGCCGGAAAACAACGTATTTACAGATATTTCCACTAACAAGTTGAACTATTTGCATAGCCTTCTTCTTACGTAGCCACAAGCACAGAGATATTCTTAAATGTTTCTGTATGTGTGAGACAGCTCCAGGTAGAAACCAGCCTGTTTATCTCTTAGCGGCTGATGCTCAGCTGAAGACGGTATAGCTGATTAAGAGGTGAGACCATATAAGGCACGATGAGCAGAAACAAGATGACTCACATGGATCAGTCTCCGAGCAATTTCCCTCACATAACCCCTTCTCTCTTGCTGCGACTGGCAGGATCGGTGATGAGCTGACCAGGCTGTGCTTCTCACTCTGCTGCATCTCCAATCATTAACTACTAGGGGAAGTTGTAATGGAATACTTCATAACAATGTTGAGGTCTATGTGCATGAGCTATAAGGATTGAAACACTGATCTAGGATCACTGGTCAGGTCGCATTACTGCACTTCGCTGTAGGACAGGAGACAATCTGTGCCACGCCAAGTCACTTTATGAAAATTGTCAGTTTTACTCGCAGAATCAATAACTCCAGTTTTGTCCCCGAGAATAAAATATAATAGGATGCAATATGAGTACATCAAGGCAATCTTTTCACAATCTCCCATTGCTGCAGCACTACTTTGCATGAATTACAGTAAAATCTGGAGTTATGCACGCAGATAGGCCCCAAGCTGTTGGCCTGTTTTTCAAAGGTTTCAGCAAGTGAAGAGAGGGAGGGGGAGGGGGAGAGGAGAGAGGAAGGGGTAGGTAGAGAGGAAGTCCTGGGGGGGGGGACGACTTGCACTTGCTGCAAGAATGTTTCTTTTTAACACATTCAAAATTGAAATAATAAAGTCATAAAAGGGATGGAAAATAACTTTGATCAAGAAGAGAAAAAAAGTTTTGTAAAACTTTATATTATTCATTTTTTACAGTTTTAATTTGGCACATGGCACAATCAGCATGTATGCATCTGGTATACATAAATAAATATTAAATATTTTATACATAAATATACATATAGAGCTCTTACAAAGACACCTGGAGAAGTATTTGCTTAGGATGTTTCAAATGACAACAATACATAGAAATTATTTGTGTTGGTGCTTTGCAGTCTGAACATTGTCTGAATTGTTTTTTAAGTGGGAGCCCTATACATATATGTATGTATGCCCATATTTATATATATATTCAAAGAAATACAAGTGTGCACTGATGGAGGTTTATTCAGTGCAAACAGGCCACTGTCTGCTTTTGAAGAGGAACTCTTACAAAGTCAATGGAATCATGTCAGTTAGTTCAGTTGAATCTTTAGCTATTTTTTTCTCTTACACGTAAAATAATATATTTATTTTGTAACCTTTAAGCAAAATTAGACATATATAACTTTGAAAATAACGAAAGTGCTATTTCGCGAAGACATACACCCAGAGACGCAGCAGAAACACTACTGGTGGTGAACGAAAATCAACAACATGAGAAAGTACTCAGCCCCCCCCCCCCCAAAAAAACACATTATACAACCTACAAACAAATAAACAGGTGCAGCAACACACACACACACACACGCACACACTCTCTCACTCACACTCACACACACACTCACTCACTCACTCACTCACTCGCTCGCTCGCTCGCCACTCTTGCTTTTGCAAGTTCCGACAATGAGTCTCTTCCTTTATCTTGGCCTCTTAACCACGCTTGCGCTGCAAGGAACGAGAAATCATTTTCACATGCACACAAACACACAGGTGCTCTAAGCAGCATGTGTACGTGCACACTTTGTGGAGATATCAGATAGCTTAACAGATAAATTGGCTGTAAAAGATGCACTTTTTTTTCTTAACAAAACAATCACAGTAACATAGTATTTATCTCTGCCTTCTCATCTCCCGGCAAGAGCTGTCTCAGACAAATCATTTCTATATGAGATTTAAAAAAAAAAAAAAAAGATAACACCATTTGTGTGGCTGTTGTGTTGGTACGCAACAGAAAGAAAAAAATGAGTTGCTCAAAATGGGCTTAAAATCTCTACATCTGCATATCCTCTAGGTTCCCATCCTGGATTGAGTCTCTCATCTTTGAGTCATATCGGTTTCTAACACACTCCACTTGGAATAGTCTCAGGGAATAGAAATAATGACAAAAAAGAACAAGCTTTGTAAGGCATTGAAACGTAAAACAAAACAAAGAAGCAATTAAAAACATTTGCGAATATTGACGTAGAGGCCATTGTTCGAGATGTGTCCCCCGCAGGAGGGAGGGATGGGAAATAAAAAGCACTTCTCTTTGTTTTTGTTATGAATTCAAGATAAGTGTTGATATCTCCTTAGTCTGCTTAAAAAGGCTTTTAAAATGATTATTTTAGAAAAAAACACTGCAGAAAGACCCCCTCCCCCGATCAGGAGAAGGGAAGCAGTTTGATTTTGGCAGCTCTGCACAACTTGACATCCATAGAGAGCTCTCAGCAACTCTCCTCGTAGTAAAAGTCTAGTTAAATCTCTTCACGTTTTAATCCAACTCATGCCCTTCCCCGCCCCTCCCCCTCCCTGTGATATTTATAAAACACAATCCTCTCCTCCGTTCGTTCATCCTGCTTCTCCTCCTCCACCGCCACCACCGCCGCCGTCTCCTCCTCCCCCGCCTGAGCCGGCTGCCCCTGGCCTCCTTAAAGCTATACGCGGGTGGTTGAGTGGGAGTGTGGCAGGCCGGTGGAGTTGAAGCCGGTTGTGAAGGTGTTGTAGGGGTGCAGATTGGGCATACCCACCAGGGAATTGGGGATCATGGTGATGGTGTTGGGGGTCATGAGGGGAATGTCGTCCGGAGAGCGCCGCAGAGTGAGCGTGTAGTCGGGCAGCGAGGCCAAGCGCAGTGCCCCCTCGTTGCTGTTCCCCGCCTCGCACTCATGGTGCGTCTGGTTCATCTGCAGCGACATGATCTCCTCCTCGGGCGCGTGGTGGCCAATGTCGTTGGAGGTGGTCTGACGTTGCGGGCTGGGCTGCCCGTGGCCGGAGTCCTGCCGCCGCTTGTCCTTGCGGTAGTAGAGGGCTGCGAAAGCCAGCACATTGAGGAACAGCAGCGAGGCTCCCACAGCGATAGTGACGCTGAGCTCTGTGGAATAATCCCGCTGGTTCTCCACCACTAGCGGCCCCGTCTCCTCGTCGTCACCCCAAGAGTCTTTGTCCTCACTGTTGTAGGCCGGGGACATGGGAGGCCGCTTGGTGTTGAACGGCCAGGTTTTCCCGTTTCCCTTGGTGGACAAGGTGTTCTGGGTGGTCTCCGGCGGGGGCACTTTGGTGGTGGTGGAGGTGTAGTGGAACATGTCGTGGAGGTTGTACAGGTGGGGCACTAGGTGTTTCCAGAAGGCCACTTTGGTGGCGCGGTAGTGGTCCCGCACGCGTGGCTTCAGGCCGATATGCAGGTAGAGCTGGTCTTGGGGGTTGTACTTGGACCAGGCCACCTCCTCAAAGCGGTTGGCCTTGGTGTGGATGAACTTGGTGTCTTGGGGTACTGGCTTGTTAGGATCCCTACAGAAAGAGAGTTGACAGACATGATAATGTGTTAAATGGGATTCTGACAGTACATTTATTTATTCATGCTCCCACATTCATGTGGGAATATGAAGCGCATGAAAATACTCAAAACAAAACATAACAGTATCTGTCACAGCTTCAATTTTTTGGTGAGAAAGAGGTTCAGCCTCCACTGGAGAATTTACTGATCATGCTTGGCGAAAGCACAAACCCACAACAGCAACTAACAGGCTGCAGGTAATAATTGATCAAGGTGTGTATGGTACACTTTCTGTCGCTGCATCAACAGACACTGATTTCAATTTATTTCCCCAATCCACTAACATTTTTTGTTTGTACCACAAGATCTCCATACAACCCGAGCTCTTCCAGCGACCTCTGCGTGGGCATAATGTGTCTCAATGTCTGTCTCATCCTCCCCTATCCTCTCACCCCAGATGTTGTTCTAAATTCAGTTCTGATGCAGCCCACCCACAAAAACCAGGGCAGAGGCTTTTAAAGTAAACACATATGAATAAGTCAGCAGGCTTTAGGGCTCGCGTCAGGAGGCATCTTCTTGTTGATAATCCAACGCTGGTGGAGCCCCTCTGCTAATTGCTTAGGGAAGGCAGCACAGTGTGCATTGGCATCCAGTGTACTGATGTAAAGTGGACCATATTAATCAAGACACTAAGAGGGAACTGCAGAGGAGCGTGTGTGTGCTTGCATTTGAGGATGTTTGTGTATGTTTGAGACTGAAAGCGAGAGACAAAAGGGATGTGTGAGAGTGTGTGAGAGTGAGCGAGAGAAAGAGAGATAGGGAGAAAGAGAGAGAGAGAGAAAGCAAGAGATATTTTCTGGATGCAGTACTTCTTTTGATCCACAGAGTTCACTGTTCCACTTTTCAGTTCTTTGACACGTTGCTTCAACACCGGATGGCCAACCATTTCAATTACAGTGAAGTTATTGATTTATTGAATGAATTAACATATAGCAGGGTCCCACAATCACACAACTCCATGTTGCGCTGTTACCATACAATGTCGGGAGTGGGAGTTCTGCGACTCATTGCTATAGCCTTTGGTACTGAGGAAATTACTTTCTGCAAAAGAAACAGAAGAATAGCGCTGCGGCCTTGAAAACACAAGAATTGATGTTGGAACCGAAAAGTTCAGACTGTATTGTTGCAAGGAGGAAAGGATCTTTGCAACATTTCTCTAAATGTCATGAAATATCCCTTTGCGGGTCTGATTGCGATGTCAGTGGCAAGCAAAGTTCAAATTCAATTCGGGGTTTAGGGATATGGCGCCTACAGTGTTTTTTTGGCACGGGCTGAAAAACCTCTAAACACAGCCAAGAGAATTAAAAGCCATGCCAGAAGAATTCACCCTCCATCCTCTCTCCTGTTCGTTCCTCTGCTGTCATTTTTTCTTTTCCAGGTCAGTGCTTCAGAGAGAGAGAGAGAGAGAGCGAGAGAGAGAGAGCGAGAGAGAGAGCGAGAGAGAGAGAGAGAGAGAGCGAGAGAGAGAGAGAGAGAGAGAGAGAGAGAGAGAGAGAGAGAGAGAG